GGGATCAATAAAATACTTCTTATCATCTTATCTTATATTATCCTGTAATAGAGTGGTGCAGGGATGACGTATTTTTGTAGGCCGACCTGGAAGTAAGCTGCGCAAGGGTTCCCTCGACAAAAAAGCAACAGGATTTCTCCATTGGATTTTGGAATATTGTAAAAAATAAGTTCTGTGGAAAAGGAACCTGTTTTGATAAATGCACGTTTTGTTCAGCCGGATAATCTCCACATGTCTCCTACTTTTATCATTTTCGAATCATAAATCTAATCACCAGAAGCAAAATGCTAACGTTATGCTATATAAAGGAACTACAGCCGAGTACAGCAGCACGACTTCAACGTCACGCCAACTTAAGATCCATATTCAAAAAGTTGAAGCGTTTGTTTGAACAGTTTGCAGGAGGCAGGTACTTGCTTTCAAGCAGAACAGGGCAAACAAACTTAGCGGGAGTGTTTACGTGTTAGGTGGAATGACGTACAATGTCCTCGACAACTTCTGTAGTCCTATTCAGCCACATGTTAACAATCATCGTTTTTCCATCGACACGTCAACTCTTCAGAAATCACCAGTGGGGTCACTGCTGATGTATTTAATGTCGTAGAACAAAACGTGATCCGTCTCTTGACTTTGTGTCAACCACAGACCTTATTTCCAGCTATTTTCCTAAAATATGTTCAAAAAACCCGTTGACTCTGAGACGAGGGAACCGGATGTGGTAAAATGCTAACTCACTTCCGGGTTTAAGGATTCGTCACGGCACCACTCTATGCCGGTATCAGTACAGCCTTTATCAACATCACATTGTCTTCCTTCCTCCCCAGGCTCCAGTGCTATGCCCTACAAGAGGAACCCGATGCGTGCGGAGCGTTGCTGCAGCCTCGCCCGGCACCTGGTGGCGCTGCTGTCCGACCCGCTGCAGACTGCCTCCGTCCAGTGGCTGGAGAGGACGCTGGACGATAGCGCCAACAGGTCCCCGCCACACACACACACACAGACACACACACACACACACACACACAGACACACAGACACACAGACACACAGACACACAGACACACAGACACACAGACACACACACACACACACACACACACACACACACACACACACACAGACACAGACACAGACACACACAGACAACTGACTCAGCTGAAGGGGTTTTCTCTGTTGCTTCCTCTTCTTATAAACCAATGTTTCTGTTGGGAAAATACTGAATGTACTCTTCTAATATCAGAGTAGCACATGATAACAAACGCCCAACTGTAACTGCGTACATGAGAGGATGTATGATTAAGATAAAATAAGATGGGACTTTATTCATCCCGAAGGAAATTGTTGTGCCAGTTACCATTTTTTTACAATAAACACAGCAGCATAATAATATATATATATATATATATATATATATATATATATATATATATATATATATATATATATATATATATATATATACATATACACACAATTAATGTAAATATTAACAGTATTTAGCATTTAGTAGTGCAAAAACCGTAGTGGTAGTTACGTAATTGCACGTTATTTATCGAACATTTGACCTAGAAGAGCATCAGGACTGTTTTAGGCATACGATAGCTATGTGATTAACATGATGATTCAGCCTCTATGGAGATAGACATATGACAAGCATGATCATTTCTGACGTGGAGCTAATCTGAACTAAACATTGAATACTGCTTTCTATTCCTCCATCTTGTGACTGTGTAACTCCCTCTCTTGGATATCAGCATGTGAAGGACACTGCTCAGGAACTAGTTGATGCTCTGTATGTGATGACTACTTCCATTCTGGAGAGGATCAGAAATACATGGATCCTGAGATTGAAGCTCAAGCCGGTGACCAGTGATATTTTTCTAACAGTTTCCTTCTTGCTCTTGCAGGAGGATCTCCCTGCCCGAGTCCTTCCTGACGGCGGACATCATCCTCAGCACTCTGCAGAACATCACAGAGGGGCTGGTGGTCTACCCCAAAGTCATCGAGAGGCACATCCGCCACGAGCTGCCCTTCATGGCCACAGAGAACATCATCATGGCCATGGTGAAGGCCGGAGGAAACAGACAGGTGCTGCACTTCATTCATGTTCGAAAGCTGCCATAAAGTATATATTCATATTAGTTTCCACTTTCACTAAGTTCAAGGCTTTATTGTCATGTGTGCATAGCTACAGTGTAGTTATGACAATTAACATCTTAGGTCCCAGGCTCCTCCAACAGTGCAACAACAATAACACCGATAATAGTGCAAGTAAATAAAATAAAATAGAGTAGAATAGAAATTGTGCAGAATAGTCTATATACAGTAATTGGAATATTGATATATATAAGTTGCAGACAGATGAATGTTATGGATGTTCTTTCAAAAGTTCCGGTGTTTAACAGTCTTGTGGCCTGTGTTAATTGTTTTGACCAATTTCAGTCCAGGTCATCACTACCAATTTGTATTATTTTCATGATTTTCACTTTTAATACAAAGGCAAAAGGTTCAACAGATGGATTGGATATGTGTGGACAAAAGTTGACGTTACTAAACTTAAAATAAAACTCTGTCCTCCTTCAGGATTGCCACGAGAAGATCCGTGTGCTGTCCCAGGAGGCGGCGGCTGTGGTCAAACAGGAGGGGGGGGACAACGACCTGCTGGCCAGAGTCCAGAAAGACCCTTACTTCGCCCCCATCCTCGGGAACCTGGACTCAGTCCTGGACCCCAAGACCTTCATCGGACGCGCCCCCCAGCAGGTAGAACACTGACAGCCCCCCCTGTCTTTATTTAAGAGCTCTCAGCATTGGTTATGTTGAATATCTCTGTATTAATGACCTCACCACCTTCAAAAAACGTACAAAAACTCACCTCTTCAAACTTCTTTTAATGTGTGATTGTTGTTTTATTGCTCGATTTTAATGTGACTTTTATTATTTTTATTTGTTGTCCTTTTTTACTTCCTCTGTAAAGCGACTTTGAGCACCTGTAGAAGCGCTTACAAAATACATTATTATTAATGGTATTATAATTTGATTTTAAGAAATGATATGGTTACAGGGCGGTCAAAAAAAACCTATGAAAAATCCAAATCCAAAAATCAAGAGTTTTCCGTTCCAGTTATTTAGTTTAAAAGATCCTTCCATTAAATTATATGACATTATCATCTTGTAACTTGATTCCTGGTAATTAGTTTAATTATTACAACTGTTTTTACCAGGAATACAGTCTTATTTTTTCACAGTTTTTCCAAGAAATAGGATAAGTGAGTTTTTCTTAAAGGGGACCTATCATGCAAAATGCACTTTTGTACGTCTTTTATACATGAATATGTGTCCCCGGTGTTCCAGGGAACTCACCAAGTGTCAGAAAACACAACCCTCTCTATTTTCCTCCATACCCAAATCTCTAAAAAAGGGGCTGCAACGGATCTGATAAAAACTGATCCAGATTTGAACACTGTCCTGACGTCAGGACAGTGGCGCTACGGCTATTGGGCCAACTCCACCAATCAGGAGGAGACAGCCACGGCCATTGCCGTTCGAAAGCGCTGGAGACGCTGTAGTACATATGCCAGGCCTGTAGGTGGTGCTGTTCTCACAGAATCAGCCCTTGCAAAAACAGAGCTAAAAAATGTCAAATTGAGCAAAATGAGGCATGGCTAAAATGCATGATCTGTTTGGTATTTTGAAAAGAAAAAAGTATAAATATGCCTTCTATAGGTATGGTCCTACACTATATTATTCAAATATAGCATGATAGGTCCACTTTAAGAGAAATACCAAAAGTAGACGACAGTCATCTTGTCTATCTGTTGAGGAACCTGCGATCTAAGTTCATACATTACATAATTACACCCTAGTTTTGTATATGTGATGACAATGAACCTTGAATGAATCAGTTGTCTTGTCTAGATATTTCCCAGAAGCTGTTTGAGGCTTAACATTAACAAAATATATGACAATGATTTGGTAAAATAATCTATTCCTTTCTTTATTTCTTCCCTGTTTTCTCGTCCAGGTCACCAGGTTCCTGTCTGAAGAAGTGCGCCCCCTGCTGGAGCCTTTTAAGGCTAAAATGGATGTCAAAATTGAGCTTGAGCTCTGATGTGCACACAAACACACGCACACACACACACGCGCACACACAAGCCAAAAGACTAGTCCTCATCATGTTGGTAGTGAACGCTGAATCTCAAATAAAAAATACAATACATTTCTGTCATACTGTTTTCATTTCTGCCTGCGGTTTTTAAATAAAAATGGACTAGAATGTGAAAAAGATATGCTTTTATTTAAAAAAATAACTCAAACAGTGATTAATGTGGTCATAAATTATGTTTATGACCACATTTTATCTTTATTGACGGGGTACCAAAGGTCATATGAGTTCCCGCTTCATACAAATAAATGTTAATACTTTAGTGAATTATTAATCCGTTGTTTCCTTACTTAACATTTATCACGATCCCCCTGAGACTGCAGGCTGCTGAGGACGCGCTTCATTCACTCTTTGCTCTGTGTGGTTTGTGTTCAGACTTTGTGGTTTGCTTTCAGTTACCGAAAAGGTAAACTGTGAAACTGAGGAAACCCACTGTCAGATCTGGGAGGAACTCGTTCAAGAGGTTGTAAATCCTAAAAGGCTCAAAGTTCAACCCAGCCCCTAAACAAAAGAAGCCATAACTTACCGTAACTCACAGTGTAGTGCACCACAATACAGGGCATAAAGGGAGGTTTTTAGTGAACAATCTCAACATTTTGGTTTGGCTGTGACCATTTGATTGCACACCTAACTCTTGAAATAACCACATAGGTAAGCATTGTGATCATAGTGATGTTATATGGCTTATTCACTCTGTGTGAAACATCTGGACAGCAGCGTGTATCATCTGTTAGTGTCATTATGGTAAACATGGCAATGATGGAATGAAGCTCTTTGAGTGAGGATTCAACAGAGAGCTGCACCTTGACAAGTGAGTTCACACAGCTTCTCTACACAAGAACAAGTATTTTATTTGTGAGGTTTGTCGCTTCCCTGAGTTTAAATCCTCCATGTGAGTTTTGCTTCACCTGTGACCTCCTGTGTTTGTAAAGGCAGAGGTGTGTACCTCACCAACATGTGGCTGTGGGCGTTGCTCCCCATCTGCCAGGCTGTCTTTGGCACTCTGGGCATCTGGACTGTGTGAGTATTCAGCTTCCTTATTTAATAAGTGCTGTTGTCATTGAGGTTTCATTTAATAATCACATCTCATTTATCCAAACTGATCTACAGAGGAAGTGTTGTTTTCTTGAGAACTCAAATCAAATTGCCATTACTTTTAGCTAAATATGTAAAGTCTGTTCATTTTATTACTGTATACTGTGTTTCAACATTACTTTAAGCTTATTATGTCAACGATGTCTATCATTGTTGACATTGACATGTTTCCATTGGCATTATAGCTAAGTAATTGTATTCATTATTTAGTTTGTAGCAGTTTTACCAATTATACATTACTTATAGCCATGGGCGTAATTTCCACTGGGGACAGGGGGGACATGTCCCCCCCACTTTTCAAAATCCCATTTGTGTCCCCCCCACTTTTTAATTATTATTTTTTTTTTTACGCAAGCGGTCATCGTCACGGAGGAGCGTCTGTGTGTGTGTGTGGCATGAGCGCATCTTGTGAGAGAGATAGAAAGAGAGAGAGACAGAGAGAGAGAGACATAGAGAGTTACGGGGGTTGTTGTTAGCATTTGGTGCTAGCTCGGAGCTAATGGAGATTAGTAGCTGTTTCAACAATAAGGAGAGGGAGAGCTCTTTCCTGTCGGACTTTGAGAGATAACGTCAGCTCAGGGAGGTAAAGGACTGTCTGAGTGATTAGGTTGTAAACTTTAGTCTAGTTATCTCAGTGGGTCTCAAACGGTTTGGTCATCTATGTAAACAAATATTTCCATCTATGTAATATATAGTTGTATATAAAATAAGTTAAGAAATCCTTCCAATGTGTACTATAGGTCAGTACAAACATAAAAAACACAGTTTGAAAGGGGAGTGATTAGTCAAATATGCATAAATAAAAAGAAAAAATGCAGACTAGGTAAGATAAAGATAGGAGAGAGGAGTTTATCAATGATTTGTTATTGCTTGTGAGCATATTCTAATGGCTTTTTGATTATTGAAATATATACAGTTCTGTTTCATATGAGTGTTGAGAACTGTATCCATAAATCTCTTAATGTTGCCCTCAAAGTGCACCAGATTGATGCATTCAACTTCAATTTAAAGAAACAAATCTTCCCGGGGTGCATGCCCCCGGACCCCCCTAGAGGATGTCAGGTAATCACAAATAAAACAGGTTCACATGGATAGGATACTAGATAAGTGTGCACACTCATTATATACACTACACATTTTTCTTGGATTTGTTAACACTATAGTCCCTAATATATTTGTAGAAAGGCAGGAAATGGAATTAAATTGAGAAAATATTTAATTGCGGAGGACCCCCTGTTTTGTCCCCCCCCCCACTTCTCAAACCAAAGTTACACCCTTGCTTATAGCTCACTTTAAGACTTAGACTTAGGTTGCGGTCGAATAGTCCATTTAGCTTAGGAACCTTCCTAACGGAGTGAAATGACCCGGAAGTCCCTCAGTGGCAGCCATGATAAGTGCCGTTCGAATTCTCTAAATTAAAAGGAAAGGAGGTTTCAAACTTCCTTTATAACCTCCTTTAGCTTAGGAACCACTGGACCTCCCTAACCGAAAGGAGAGGAGAAAATGCTGCCCCACAATGCCTTGCGGCCGCAGCATTTGCCGTCACACAACAGTCGGCCGTTCACGGAAACAACCGATTATGAACGAGAAATGATATCATGAAAGTTACGGTGCTTATTAAGCATTTTAAAACGTATGTGGTAAGTTGCCAAAGTGCTTTGTTTTGAACATTCATCAGTATTATAATCAAAAAGAGAAATATGAACGTTAGTTTTTACTGAAATGATCAAATAAAGTCAACATTTCACAGTCTTTACTGAGCTGTGTGGGGTTTGTTCAACTTTTAAAAGATGTTTGAATGGTGATATACACAGTGATAGATGTTAAGGACTAACGTTTATAATAAATACATTTGTATTGATTTTAAGATCTTTTCATACAATCATATGTATTGGGATCATTTGTATTAATGAGGACCGGAGGGAGAGGGTGACGAGCATAAGTTTCACTTTCCTTTTTTATTTCAATTCCAACTTTGGTCATGAAGAATATGTTTCTCTGTTGTCCCCGTTCATAAAGCATAAAACAACAGCATCAGAGCACGGTGCAGAGTCTCGAGATGAGTTTACAGTAGTCCCTCGTTCTTATTAAACATCCATGTTGTAGTCCGCTGTATAGAAAACTGTAGTTTCCATAGTTTCCCCACAGCAGCAGGCGCACATTTATGACCTCCACTGGCGCATCATAAACACGTCGGATAGTCAAAGTCCAGTCGGATTCTCTAAAGTACCGCAGTCTCTTCTCCTAAATCCTTTTGAATTCTCCTATCCACTATCCCTTAACCCCGTGACGTTTCACTCCGAGGTCAAGGAATAGACGATAGGGTTAGAACTTAGGAGCTGTTTTTTTGGAGTATTCGACCGCAACCTTAGACTTAGACTCACTTGATCACTAGTAAATCTGAACAGGTGTTACAGCAGACACAATATGGAAATACTGTAAATATATATACATTTGTGGGTGTGTGTGTCTTTCCTCAGCTATCTCGATACGACTGGACCCTTTGGTGTAATATTTATTTAGCATATTTATGACTTTATACTCATTGACCTCTGGTGGTTGTAGTGATTCACAATTATTGATACTATGTTGAATTCACGATACCCTAATGCAGGGGTGTCAAACTCAATTTCATCACGGGCCACATCAGCATTATGGTTGCACTCAAAGGGCCGGTTGTAACTTTAAGACTATATCATTAATTAATATAACTTCATAATTAACTACGTCTGAAAGCAGAAGTCTAGAGCAAATAATTGCAAGTCTCTTCAGTAAGAATGTCACAATATGATTTTAAAAGAAAAGCCACATTCTGGAAAAACATTGATGAAAAAGAGAAGTGACATTTTGAAAAAAAAATCTATTTATGAGAAAAAGGCTAATTCTAAGAAAAAAGGCATATTTGGACAAAAAAAAGTCAAATTCTGAGAAAAAGTCAAATTTGAGATGCATTGTGGGACATGTCGTTTATGGGCAACGTGCTTCTGTAAAGTAGCATGTAACCGTATAATAAACATATTATATTCTTTGCAAGCTCTTGTGGGGCCACATGAAATGAAGTCGCGGGCCGGATTTGGCCCCCGGGCCTTGAGTTTGACACCCCTGCCCTAATGTGTGTCAGACACATTTTAATTTTAAGACAGACAATAATGGTTTGGCCCCCTGGCAGTAACTCCAAGGACACTCTTGGGGGTTATGGGCCCTGTGTTGAAGACCAATGTTCCACATTTTTAAACTTTTATATTTCTTTGGTAGCATTATTTATACATATAATATCACATACAATAATCTAAAGCTGACAGATTTTGTAAGTAGAGCCATCATTGGTCTGTTTTTTCTCTGCTTAAAAGTCAAATAACTAAATATAAAGTCTATTTCTTTTTCCCATCCAAGCAAAATAAAATGATGAAGTAAAATGTATACTCCTCTCTAACACCCAATATGTGTGTTTGTTCCCTCTAGGTTTGCTGTTTCTGTATCAAATGGATCAGTCAACCTCACAGAAGGATTCCCTTACATCAGGTCGGTAAAAGTAATTAAGGTAAAGCGTCATCCTGAATCCTAATGTATGAGTTAATGTTGAATAATAACGCTTCTTTTCTCTCACATCCTGTCAGTGAGTGTGGATCGTACAACCCTCAGAGCTGTCTCTTCTCCCAGATGTGCAACATCTGCTCTGTTCTAGGTAATTACGGATTCAATTATGTCATTGCTGGACTAGCATAAGGCTTTAATGCTGCTATTTATCTTTTCTACTTTTATTGTGTACTTTATTTTTGATTTTATAAAGTGAGCTTTCCCTTTATTTAATACTGATAATAATAATAATAATAATGGGTTTAATTTATAAAGCACTTCCCATTTGACTTCAAATCCAGAAGTGCTACAAGCAGTGAGCATGAACAGTATAAAAACAGTACACATCACGGTAGAATGAATAAAAAGCAATGCAAACAAACAATAAAAATAAAATAAAATAAAAGGGTGGTAATAGATAAAAGGTCTAGGGAAAGGCTCTATTGAAGAGATGGGTTTTGAGGCCTTTTTTAAAAGCTTCCACGGTCTGTGGTGCTCTCATGTGGTCGGGGAGAGCGTTCCACAGACGAGCAGAAGGCCCGGTCTCCCATAGTACGGAGCTAAGTCCTGGGGGGTTTGAGGAGGTTGGAGTTGCTGGAGCGGGTGGTCCGCAAGGAGGTATGGGGGCTGAGGAGTTCCTTGAGGTAGGGAGGGGCAGTTCCATGGATACACTGGTGGGTGAGGACGGAGACCTTGAATTCGATCCTCAGTTCCACGGGGAGCCAGTGTAGTGCTTTAAGGATGGGCGTGATGTGATCATATTTACGCACCCTCTGATTTGCTAGATTTCTGTTCATCATATACTTTAGTCTTCTTGACCCTGCAGTAGAACTGGTTTGAATGTTTAAACTGTTCTTTTATTTGGTTTTCGAGGTAATGGTTATTTTGTTATCCCAACATGTAAACCAGTGTTTGTTGACAATGTTTTTCTTACACCAATATGTCACCTGCACCTCTTCATCATCTTCTGCCCTCCTCTCTCTGTGTCTCTCAGCCCTGTGGATCGTCATCATCCGTTTCCAGCAGGTGAAGGACTTTGGTAATCATGGAAAGGCCAACATAGCCGGCATTATTCTGGGATTCATCTCCTCTGGAGGCATCTCCATCATTGGCAACTTCCAGGTAATAACTTACAAAACTAAATGATAATCAAATCTAAGCCCTTTTATTTTAAGCATTTATCCAGAAGACTGTTCGCTATCGGTTACGGAAAGAAACATAGTTAACCTTTGCCCTCTACAAGCCAGGCGCTCAATCGCTTTGTGCTGGAAACATGTTGGTTGCCCCTCCCTGGGCCACTGGCTAAACAATTGAACTTGGAGTCTGGCTCTTGAGAAACTCACATATATACTAAGGAAGAAAGCTTCTGAATTTTACACCATTTGGGAAGTGTTTTTGGAATTGATAAAAAATGGGGACATTGCAGAAGCTATGGAAGGTTAAACTGAAAAGACTAAACTACTGTGAGGAAATGTTGAATATGGTTAATCTATTTGGAGAATTGTAAACCGTACTCTGTTTGTGGATGTGCTTTATTGTATTTTTGTTGAATTTGTTAATTTGCAAATGTAATTATATTCTTAGTCTGTACTTTAAACTGATTTCTAGTAACTGCACACATTTAATTGTATTGTTTATTATTATTTATTTGTGTTTGTGTAATGTGATAAATGTAACAAATCAATAAATACATGTTAAAAAAGAAATCTAAGCCCTGATAATCCCTCTGTGCTGACTGAAGTCTCTCCTCGCTCTGCCTTTGCCTCGCAGCAATCGGTCGTAATGAACATTCACCTGCTGGGAGCGTTCCTGGCCTTCTTCGTGGGTCTGGCCTACTTCTGGGTGCAGCTGCTCCTGACCTACAGGGCCGGTCCGTCTCAGGACCGCTGCTGGGTCGGGCCGGTCAGGGCCGCCTGCTGCAGCCTCTGCACCCTGCTGGTCGTCCTGAGTATCCTTCCTGTCTGTAAAAGTCAAGTCAAAGTCAACTTTATTGTCAATATTTCAGTTTGTGTGTACGGACAGAGAGATCGAAATAGCGTTTCCCACAATCCCGAATACAAAAACAAATATATATAAAATATGTATGTAAATATGTATATACCTATATCTACACAATCAACAGACACATTTATACATATGCACACATTAAGACCTAAATAAAAGCACAGCACTCAATATATACAAAAATAACAGTCACTTCAATATCTTTGAGAATGTACATTAGTGCAAGACTGTCCATAGCAGCGTAAAAAGTGTCTGGTGCTGGATTTGAAACACATCCAGTAAATATAAAATCTAATTTATGTTGAGCTTAAAGTTTTTATCCGTTACCCAGTCAGTCCAAAGGTGTTGATTTATACCTATTTAACATTAATGAGCTTACTTTTCGTCAAAATCTGTTACGTTTGGCGATCTATTTCAACCTTTACCAACATATCTTTAGGGTATAAAATAACAATTCTCTAACTATAAGCTAATTATTGAACCATTTATCCATAACTTTTAATGTTAGCTATCTATTTCAAGTGTTTATAAATTACTTTGATCTATTTTAACCATTTATCTTACCTTTTTTAAAATGTGTCCATTACTTTTTAGGTTATTTTAACTGTTTATAAATTATGTTTTTTCTATTTAATCCATTTATCTTAAGCTTACGTTTTCAATATATGTCGTTGCCACACCTAAGTCACTCTCAAGTTACAGTAGCTGTATTTATTTGTTTAAAATAAAAACTGTACTTGCTCGACAGATTGCAGGACAGATTTAACTAAGGTTGAATGGCGCTGTATAAAGCGAGACATGTACAGTTTCTATTTTAAAAAGGTCCTTCATATTGATGGCGCCAATACAACCACAAAACAGAACAGGAAACGGACACAAGAGGAAGAGAGGCTGAGAACACAAACATGAACTAGATCTCACTGCTCAGAAACAGGAAGATTTAGTCAATGATCCTGTGTGGCAAATTCACATTTTACATGTTTTAAAGGTCACCTATTATGCAAAACCCTCTTCTTCATGTCTCTTCTACTTCAACATGTGTCCCCTCTTCTTCATGTCTCTTCTACTTCAACATGTGTCCCCTCTTCTTCATGTCTTTTCTACATCAACATGTGTCCGCTCTGTGTAAAGAGATTCTGAAAGTTTCAGGAACAAAGATTCTCTCTCTTTTTGTCCTGATCCATTTATATAAAAACCTGTCTGAAAATGAGCTGATCAGATTTTGGCCACTTTATGATGTCATAACGATGTTTTGGCTTGAGTAACCATTAGCCAATCACCAACCAAGGTAACCCCCCCCCCCCCCCCCCCACCTTATCACCTGAATCTCCTCCTAGAGCACCATTGTGTTCTTTTTAACCAAATATCTCTCAGAGGGGCATGGGGAGGGGCTCCTTATTTTCATCTGAAGTAACAGACAGAGAATCAGCACTTTTGAAACAGGGCTGAAACAGAGGGGATTATGGGATGCTGCAATGATCTGTTTGGTGTTTGGAGCCAAACACTTCAGAGACATGTTCTGTATATATCTGAGACCTATAATATATTGATGAAAAACAGTATAATAGGGGACCTTTAATTCACTGTTCAATTCTTTACGTCTTGCATTTCTTTAGTGTCACGCTCCTTGACTCCTCTCTTCTTCAGTGGTGGTTCTCCACCACACAGGCTCTCCCTCGGGGGCTGCGGTGTGTGAGTGGGTTCTGGTCATGCTGTTCTTCGGTCTGTTCGGCCTTTTCGCAGCTGAGTTCAGACACATCGACTGCCACCACCTCACTATACAGAAACCATCTCTTGGGGATTCCTCAGTAGTGGTCAATAGTTTACATGTAGATGCATTTCAAACTGAAAACACACGAGTACAATAACGTATATAAGTGCATGTGGTTCAAAAACAGCAATCTTCCGTCATAATGTATTCATTGCATTCCTTTATAGAGTATCTGATATTACCATACCGTATATAATATATTTTTCTATAAACGTAAGAAGTTAAAGGTGGGGTAGGTAATTTTGGAGAAACCAGCTCGAGTGCGCTAGAATCTGAAAATACACAGCCGGAACAAATCTGCCACTTCCTTACAGAGCCCCTCCTCCAACACACACGAACGTGCACATGACCAATGAGGGCACGAGATAAGTTTGTGCACAGATGGAAGGCTGACAGGCAGGTAGGCCATCCAGTTATTTTAGCCGGGCCGGCTCAAATGATTGGTCGTACTTTTTACAGCGCTACGGCTTCCACAGATGACATTTTTTTAATGGATTTTTTGTCAAAGCACTTCAGATATTCATTGCTATCGGGATGTTAAGAGCATTCCATGGAATATAACAAAAAGTGTATCTCGAGCCGGTTTCTCAAACTTACCTACCCCACCTTTAAAGTAAGAACGTGCAATAAAGATTTGTCAACATATTGATCTTTATATGTTGTTTGTTATCTGTATATTTGAATTTCTAAAGAAAAGCTGCATTATAACCTTTACTGTAACAAAATGTTATGTTATATGTTGTCTCAAGTGTTTACATACCTTTCCTTTTAGTGCCGTCTAGCCATTCTCAGATTATACATATGGGAATTGTGAAGAACGCATTATCTTTCTACTATTTCTTTTAATTTTTTTACAGTTCCCTAATTCATTGTTTGCCCCTTTAGATAAAAGAAAAGTAAGAAACAAAAATAATCATATTAAAACTCATCAGGATTTCATCAAATGTTTTGGACCTCGTGATTTAATTTGCTCAAATTACGCACAAAAGGCAGAGAATCCTTCCAAATAGTAATTGCTTGAAAAATGTGTTAAACTAGTTGCAGATTAATTGACAAAGCTTTAAATACAAAGTGGTAGTTGCATGTAAAGTGTATAAAAGTGGACAATACTGCAATAAATGTATACTAACACACGGTGGCACCATTCAGCTATCCTTCCCTCTGCACAGTGTTCTGACATTTAGTCATTAATCACCTTCAAACTGGAACCATATATGAGCAACTTATCCACATATCAATCACTCATGCATATATGTAATTTCTAATATTACTTTAAACGTATCCCTGCAATCCAACAAGGATTGATTTAATCTAACATTAGTTCTAATCAGAGTTTAAGTTTAAAATCAGTGAATCCAGAATTAAAAATTCACCAGAGCTCCGCACAATTACAAACTAATCTGATTAGTAAACCCACTTTATTGAGTTGTACCCCCTCAAGTGTAAAATTGGAGTTTAAAGTTTTGGTGCAACATAATTAAACTACGCCTTAATTAAGATTAAAGACTCAATTCAAGTTTAACATTTAATCGTTCTCAAATTCTAGCTAGTGTGTTGCAACCTAATGAAAAGTAGGAGTAAAAAAAAAACGTCATCCTTGTTGGTGCTTCCCAGCCTTAAACATGTGTTCATCTTTCAAATGTGACATGTATTCAGATATTCATAGACAGTGAATACCAGGAAAGGTCTGGCCTCCCTCTCCACCTGTCAGCTGGCTCGTACAATAGAGGAAGGGGAAGAGAGAAGGGGAACGGAGGGTGAGCAGGAAAGGTTTTGTTAGCAAGAGAAAAGAAAAAAAAGTTTCCCAATGACATAATGCATGGTGAGAACCCACTATAAGATACATGGAGGGGGCTTTTATTTTGAAGGGCTTTGCAAAAACTCACTCAACCAAAAAGCATGGCACTTCAAAATAAAATCCTACCTGCACATTAAACACTGGAAAACATGCTGCTCTAAAAACAAGTTAAACAATATTGAAAACAATCTGTTTTCACTTGAAATAAGTACAACAATCTGCCAAATAAGAAGGGTTATTTAGATAAATCAGATCTTTTAATTAGCTGGGAGAACTTATTTTGAACTATATTTGATCAGAATCAGGAAATGTTGTGTTACAATATAAGTCGCAAATGCTCAAAAGTTTTCTGTTTTCTGATGTTGGTGATTTTCTAATAAATATGTAAAAAGATAAGTGTCTCATCTGAGATACAACTCAAAATAAGATTTTTTTGACTTAACATGATGATGCATTGTCTAAAAACAAGAGCCGATATCTCGCTGCAGTGTTACTTCTGAAGTTATTTTATATCAGGTGTAAAGACATATTATGACTAGATACTAGACAAACATACTTGGCAAGATTTCGAGTTTTTGTAGTGAAGATGTCATTCCCTTTTTCTCAAAGTGCCCTGACCAGCAGTGGCGCTGTGTATCGACGCTGGCTGATTGTCTCACTGATGGGAAAATGCTCCTCTGGCCCCGTGCCTGCATGTTTTTTTGGAAGATTCCCCTCGTTTAGATAGTATGATTGTATATGTATATATATATATATATATATATATATATATATATATATATATATATATATATATATATATATATATATACACACAATTAATGTAAATATTAACAGTGTTTAGCATTTAGTAGTGCAAAAACCATAGTGGTAGTTACGTAATAGCACGTTATTTATCGAATATTTTACCAAGAGCGTCACGACTGTTTTTAGGCATACGATAGCTATGTGATTAACATGATGATTCAGCCTCTATGGAGATAGACATATGACAAGCATGATCATTTCTGACGTGGGCCTTAGCTAATCTGAACTAAACATTTTACACTGCTTTGAACCGGTATTCCTCCATCTTGTGACTGTGTAACTCCCTCTCTTGTATATCAGCATGTGAAGGACACTGTTCAGGAACTAGTTGATGCTCTGTATGTGATGACTACTTCCATTCTTGAGAGGATAAATACATGGATCCTGAGATTGAAGCTCAAGCTGGTGACGAGTGAGATTTTTCGTAACAGTTTCCTTCTTGCTCATGTGCAGGAGGATCTCCCTGCCCGAGTCCTTCCTGACGGCGGACATCATCCTCAGCACTCTGCAGAACTTCACAGGTGGTCTACCCCAAAGTCATCGAGAGGCACATCCGCCACGAGCTGCCCTTCATGGCCACAGAGAACATCATCATGGCCATGGTGAAGGCCGGAGGAAACAGACAGGTGCTGCACTTCATTCATGTTCGAAAATCTGCCATAAAGTATATATTCATATTAGTTTCCACTTTCACTAAGTTCAAGGCTTTTATTGTCATGTGTGCATAGCTACAGTGTAGTTATGACAATTAAAATCTTAGGTCCCAGGCTCCTCAAACAGTGCAACAACAATAACACCGATAATAGTGCAAGTAAATAAAATAAAATATATAATAGAAATTGTGCAGAATAGTCAATATACAAGTAGTTGGAATATTGATATATATAAGTTGCAGTAATACAAGGCAAAAGGTTCAACAGATGGATTGGATATGTGTGGACAAAAGTTGACGTTACTAAACTTAAAGTGGACCTATCATGCTATATTTGAATAATATAGTGTAGGACCATACCTATATAAGGCATATTTATACTTTTTTTTTTCTCAAAATAGCAAACAGATCATGCATTTTAGCCATGCCTCATTTTGCTCAATAGGCTACATGCACTAGGGTCTGAGACGTACTTCCGCCTTAGCCGTAATACTGCTCTGCTGCTTCCGGTTTACTTCCGGTCTGCGTAGCTGAGCGGGAGATCGTCCACAAAGGTTTTACTGTTTAAATCTATGGTTTAAATATGAGTCGACGGAAGATTTTCAAAACGGAACATTTGCAAAGACAAGTGAATAACTACTCCGAGCACTGCTGTGTCCCACTTTGTACGGCGTCAGCTAAATTCAACGGCGTCCTAAGTTTCCATGGCTTTCCGACCGAACTCGAGCTGCGAAGACAGTGGCTGGTAAAAATACGGCGCGATAACTTTACAATATCCTCTCACTCCAAGGTCTGCAGTCGTCACTTCGCTACGGATCAACTAATAGAGCCAAAAACCCTTGATGGCCGTAGGAGGCTTGTGAAAGGTGCTGTACCAACTCTGTTTGAGTGGAATCACTTTACTGCTCAAACACAGCGGGCTAGTGTTTGGGAGAGAAGGGAGCGGCCCACTGAACAAGTCTCTCGGGAGGAGCAGGAAGAGCACATCGATGTCCGTGACCATGATTACTGCTCAACCCCTGAACCAGCTTCACTGGACATGTCCTCTCAAGCTACAGAAGACAACTCCAAAACAGTGGAGGATCTGCAGAAGCAACTGCAGGAGTTAAGAGTCCAGCGAGAGTTTTGCTTACAGCGGTTTGCTGGCTCCGACGACAACATCCGATTCTATACCAGGTAATGTTTTGTCTCAATTCTATCCAAGTTTTTGAGATGGGTTAGCTTATAAAGAATCCTGTTTACCTGCCGTGTGACCGCTGACTATATGCATGCAGTGTTGGGATATTTTATTTATTTAATCGTTTATTTGGCAGGGACAATGCACAGTAATGAACACTTACAACATTAAAATGTATCAAGCGTAACAGTGCCAGATTTAGCTTTGAGCTAGTTTCCATCCGCAGTCCCTCACATTAAACATTTAAGAAAATTACATTTTACAAACATGGTAAAAACAAAATACATGATATGCAAAAAGTGCAAAAGAGCAAGAGCAGCACACACAAGTATTTACCACATGGCAGTACAATATAGCAGCTACGACATATAAAGTGCAAGAGAAGATAAAAGTGCTAGATAAAGTGCAAGAGGAGATACCCCTGTGTTAACGGAGAGGACATTTTGACCAAAAGTGGTCCGTCTGTGGTGGAGTTCAGTCTCCTCTGGTTTCTGACCTAGTGCAGCGTCCAGTGTGTTTTTTGTCAACTTAACTGAAGTATAAGTACAAATACTATGGTTTTAAAATACTCCTGAACTGAACATGTAGAATCATAAATCATGTGTTTTCATATATAAAAAGTAACTAGTAGAAACTATGAAGGTTAACTAAATGTGGTGGACTAAAACATACTAATACTAACAACATACTGATAATACTTTACTACAAGTGGAAATCTTCAAAACCTTACCAAAGTAAAAGTATGTCAATATCCACTGCGTTTCCCCCAGTTGCACACTTAAGAATGAAGAGTAAAAGTAGTCATTGTGTGTAAAATGTTCCCTGTATGTTTTAGATTATTATTACT